AACAAAGTATCTTGAAAGAATATCATGTTAAAAGATAGTAAAATCTAACCTCATAAAGTCACTTCAACGAAACTAACACCTTTCCCCCTGAAATCAGGCAAGTTGAATCTAAAGTTCACAGGGAAAAAATAAATAAGAACAGCAAAGAGACAGCTCAGAGGAATAAGTGCTTGAAAACCCTGAAAAAAGAACAAGGTACTGTCTGTCTGCATGGATGAAGGGGTAGGCAAGAAAAGCAAACTTGGTCCTTCCCTACCAGGTGCTGTAACACACTCCCCTGGGTGTTTAGCCAGCGGTGGGGTGCACACCCACAACCCTAGATCCTGCGAGACAGTGAGCAACACGGTGACTTAGTGTGCCCGTCTCAAAATGAAAAACGAGAAAAGGGCTGGGATCCAGCTCAGTGTGAAGGTTCTGGGTTCAACCCTCAGTACCAACCCACAAACAACCAGCCAAACAAAAAAATCAAAACCAAACCAAACCAAACCAAAAATATACGTGTAGGCCCAGTGAGGTGGTGTACACCTGTAATCACAGCTCTCAGGTGGCTGAGGCACGAGGTTCACCATGAGTTTGAGGCTAACTTGGCTAGAGTTCAAGACCCCCACCGGGTCTTGAAAGAATTTGTTACACAGACAGACAGTGGAACAAAATAGTTCAAAAAACAACCAAGCTACATATAGGAGTATACTATACTTTAGGGAAAAGTTGAACTCTACTTCTTCCAGTGCAGTGGAATTGAGGTGGAATTTCTGCCATGTATATCAAAATTACAAATGTATCTGCCTTGCGGCTTGGCAATCACATATCTAGGAATTAATGTTATAGATTACACACAGTGAAACACAGCATGCACAAAGTTAGTGTCTAAAGTTCCCCAGCTTCCAGGGCAATCTTTTAAAAATATAATCCAGAACTGGACATGGGAGTACATGCCTGTAATCCCAGCACTTGGCAAGAGGATCCACTGCAAGCCTGGGCTACATAGTGAGACTATTTCAAAATAGCAACAAAACAAAAACCCAAAAGAGTCAGGACCACATTTGCCTCTGAGATGTTTCTCCGACATCTCAGGCATTTCCTCTGGAAGGCCCCGGCCCTCGTTGGTCTCTGGCAGATGCTCTCCCACACTGGGTACATAGCAGGAGTCCTATTGCTTCTGGTCTCTCCTCAAGACTCAGTCCATCTTGGGTAATCTGCTTCCCCTCTCCACTCTTTTTCCTCTCTCATCTTGC